CAACTACGCTCTCCGGCTTCCTCTACTCGACACCCAAGACGGCGTCCAACATGCACCAAGCCGCGTTCCGCCACCTCTGGCCCGTGCTCCGCGCCTGCGTTTGGTTCAACGTCTGGCGAGTCCGGAACGATTGCGTCTTTCGCGCCGACCTACCGCTGCCAAGTCCATGGACGATTGCCGTCAAGGCGGCACGGGTCGCTCAACTGCACTTGCACCACAACCTCGTACAAGAGCCTGAGCAGCCTGCTCTTCGTCGACTTCTCCGGCTCCTCGCCCAACACGAGTGGCCGCGATGTCACCTTGTGCCGCGGATCGCGCTCCTGCCTCCGCCAGCCTAAATCAAGTTCCTCGACTGAGTGTACACAACGAAGAAAGTCCGACAATTTAATTTAGCATAGTTTTATCTATTGTAATAGACGACCCACTTCAACAACAACCAATCCCAATTAATAAATAGACCAAATGACGGATGCGACGCCACATCATGGGCCAAATACGATCCAAAGAGCAGAGACGCCACGACGCAGCAGCAAACACAGTGCACTATTATAGTTACTTACTCGTGCAAGCCATGTCGTCGCACTGTAGGCTCTTGAAGTAATAAGACTGGGCGTCTCGATGCGCGGCTTCTCGCAACCGCGCGCAAGGCCTTCTCGTCCAAGGAGCTTCCCAGCGCACTCCTTTCAGATGTCGTAAGCTCTCCGATCTCACCTCTCACACTCCATGGGAAACCAACGAGATCGCGTCTCGATACGCTGTGCTCGCCGGTGCTCCAAGAGGAACCTCGTTGGTATGATACTTCAACACGGACAAGCTTTCGCCCATGCGCCTCGAGGCTCGAGCAGCAGCGATTTCGAGCATCAAAGAACAAATCGCACCAATTACAGGACGTGGTTGGAATCTGGCATCTGCCCAAACTGAGCTCGAAACTGGATTTGAAGTCGCCCACTTTGTTGATTGTCCCACTGTGGCCTGGAATCAAAAGCACCCACATCACTTTAAATTCGCAGCGCCATGCAAACAAGAGCGTGGGTGGTGGTGCTCGGCCTCGCCAGCGTCGCGTCGGCCGCGTGCCCGTACGCGACCGTGCTCGCAAAGGAAGTGATCGTCGCTGACAGCAACTGCGGCAGCCAGCAGTGGTGCGTCGTGCGCTCGTCCGACTGCGCGATGCTCAACTTCACGTACAAAGCGTCGTACGACATGTTCACCAACTTTCAAGCCCTCGGCAATTTGGCCAACTACCCCAACCCCGACCTGTGCGACGCTCT